TTAATAAAGATGTCCAAAGTAAACCAGCCGGGCTTGTCTAGGAACGCTAGGAATCGGGAAGCGGAGACCGAGGATCCTCGCTCCACACAATGCTTCTAAGGGTGTCTTTATAGGGAAATCCATTGAATCATTAATGGTAACTATTCAATGCCCGTAAAATAGAATAATGCCTGTTATTTTACAATCCGACCATTACATTAATTAAATTCATTTTAAACACTTTCTAAGAGCAGCTTCTTACCTCCATCCAATAGAATTAAACGGATGAATAGAATGACTAGCAGTATGTGGTAATAATCGGCTTTTTGGTAAGCATAAAATTATTTGAGCTCCAATAAACGATTAATTTTTAAATTTTTGAGTTTTATAGCCCTCTTTACCCTAAATGACACAAATTACTTCATATTTTGGGTGAACTAATTTAGCCAATAGGAGCCAAAAGAAACCCTGCTTTTTGTCTCCCTACGTTAAGTATGGAGGATGTTGCAAAGGTGCACGTTCATCCTGTTGTTCTTTTATCAATAATTGATTCCTACGAACGACGCAATGAAGATGCTCAAAATGTGGTTGGGACACTACTCGGTACGTAATATCGACCTTATCATTTTTCTTGAGGTACTTTTGAAAAGGGCATAATTGAGGTCACTCACTCCTTCTCTGTACCGCATAAAGAGTCCAAGACAGATGTTTCTATGGATCTTGAGTTCGGTAGAGCTATGCTTAACCTGGAACGAAAGGTTCGTGGTTGTGTGCAGATCCTATATAGACTCTTATGCAGGTTAACCGCAATCTGCGTCCGGTTGGGTGGTATGCTACTGGATCTGAGGTTACAGAGTCATCACTTCTGATTCACCAAGATTACTACATGAAACATGTTAAGAATCCCATTTTCCTCCTCGTCAATCCAAATCTTGAAATCGGCAAGAAAATGAGCATTCAAGCGTTCCAAAGCCGTTCTATCGGTATTCCCGATGGTACCGTGGGAACGATGTTTCTGTCTTTGGAAGTCAATCTAGAGTTCTTCGATACTGAGCGCTGCGCTGTCGACATGATGGTAGCAGATTCTCTAAATAAGGAGAATCAACTATCTGAGGTCAGTTCACTTTGTCCTTATCGGCTCTTTTGATGGTGGCCCACTTTTTTTATTCTTCTGACCTTGGTGCCTATTTGAATCAGTCCCTATATTTTAGTCCCATGCTTAAACCTGAGGTCCCTTTTTCGTCTGTTTTGGCTAAATATTTGTATGTTGTAGCCTTTAACTGCATCCTAGTGACTAACATTGCCGTCTACTACCTTCAAAATGTCATTGTGACCTTAATGTATTTATTTAATCTTCCCTCTATGAGTAGAATCAAATTGTCTCAACAGCTTTTGCACAGTACATTGCTTTGGTACCGTGTTTTCTCTATTTGCTGGAAGGAAAGTTTTCTCAAATCTGAAATCAGCATAAACTCTATTTGCTAGGCAGGTAGGCTAGAATCGCATTCACCAGCTTCTACCGATATAAGATGAGGTTTGAAAGTGGGCAGAAAATGGCATGTCACGACAAATAGTACCGTGGTGACAGACTGACCCGTATTTTTTATTGTCTTGTAACACACATAGTTGCTGTATGCATTTTGCAAGCTCCTACAAGTTATGGGCTAATTCCAAAGGCTTGCATCACAATCCGCGCGAGCCTATTCTAGTCATCTGATAAATCAGTAAAAGTAGAAATAAATCTTAAGTGATCACAAGTCATTCAGACAATAGGTGTGTCCTGAACAATGTAGTGTTTTCTATTTCACTTCGCATGGAAACCTTTTGATGTGGTTTTGATGTCGGCTTCATTTGGAAAGAGGTCGTCTCATGACGTCTTGATCAGCCTAATATCAATAAAATATGGCATGTTGGGTCATAGGAGACGCTCAAGAGGTCGTGGCACTTCCCTCATTTAAGTCTTGCTTTTCCTGCATGTCTAGGCCACCGACGACTTATCCTACCTCTACAAACTAACCGGTCGTCTGCTCTCAATGTTGGAGCGCATAAACAAAAAGGTGGAGGCTTTTGCCAACGGTGAGCAACCAGCAGACAGTGAGTTGGGCATGGCTATCGCACGACTCATCTTCTCCACACCCAAACTGGAATCGGACAATGTGGAGGACCTCATCAGTTCGTCTTTCAAGGACCTTCTTATGGTTACCTACCTGACCAACCTGATCCGGTCTCACACCAAACTGCTTAGCCTGGCGCACTGATGCAAGCACAATGCGGGACAATAATAAATTATCTACTGTTGTATTCATGTGTCTGTAAAGTTGAAGTTCGGCTCTCACTCCAGTAGTTGTCTGGGAAATCGGACTTTGGAAGGCTAGGTGCGCATCTTTTTGTGTCTCCCTAAACGAGGCGTCCAATTGGCTGTGTGCACTCGCGTTTTGTTTTTTATCAACTTGTAAGCTGCTACTATGTCTTAGTGTTGAGATTCTTTAACGGTGTTTGTTAATCGCATTCTCTGTTAATCAAGTCACTGGTTTAATCTGTGTTGCAAGAACTGTGACCGGGCTCCATCGTTTCCGTCTTCAGGATTATACTCAACTTTCTGTGGTCTTTAATCTTCTTCTTCATTGTCGCAACGGTTAAGCGCCTTAGTAGAGCTGATATTTTGCCCCATTATCGCAGCAGATGTCGATTCGTGATGTTTTACTCATAAGATATCAGTAGTTTCACTTGACTCCTTGCCGTTAGTTCGATGGTATTTGGGGCTTTTTCTGAATGCCATTCGATATTTTATTTGAGATCCTGACACATACAAATACACCACGAATTCAGATTGCTCAAAGCTCATATAACCTTTAGTCGACTGCGGGTCCATTCACTACGAAGTAATTGCTACTAGTCCATGCATTCATACTGCGCCTGCCGCCGAGGTCGGACCACCACGGCGGTGACGTAGTGTCCCACCGGTGTCGCCTGGTCTACTATTTCTTCCGTTCGTTCCCAAGGAGACAGTTTTCTTACTTGACAATGATCTCCAGGAGTTGACTCAGACGGGGCATTGGCGGCAGCATCAACTCTAGGCTATTGCCCTGGGGTAGTATTTTGCGATTTCACGAAAAACAGTTTCCGATGAGACCGAAATTCCCGTCATTTTTTTTATCCACTGGGAGTAACCCCACCTTCTGGTAGTCACCTTGTTTGGTCTTTTTTTGGACCCGTGCACTGCTGTGACGCTTGTCGACCCGCCTTGACCTGGAGGTACTTCGGATAGCTTCTGCACATCAATCACCGTCTACAAGATATTCCACAGGTCGATCTCCAATTGTCGATTATAACGAGTTCAAACCCTCGAGAAGCTCTTGGGAACTGTGGATGCGCTCCGCCTGACTCGAGTACTGCCATCGCCGGTACCCCCGATCGTCAGCATTAAGACCGCCTTTGCATCCCCATGCCTAACACCACGCAGACGGCGACGCTGACGCTTTTGGTGGCTTGGATAATATACCAAACTGCCAAGGAACAGACATTCAAGCTCCGAGACTCACAAAGGAGTCGAATCACTGGTAGCATTTATTTCAAACCAATGAGTCATGAGCATAATCTGAGGGCTCACAACTTATTTCCCATCCCAATGACACACAACTCATACATACAAGAAAAAGCGAACTATAAACAATAGGAAACCTAAGGAACACTCCATCTAATAAACAATGGTTTGCAAAAAAAGGGGACATAAAGAGAGACAAGCAGTAAATGCAGGGTTGGAAGTGGGAGAGGGGGAGGAGGGTTGTCAAAAGAGGTAGTTAATGATCGCTGGGAGTCGAACGACCGCTACAAAAAATTGGTGTTAGGAGAGACTGAGACAGGTAACCGGTCATATAAAAAGGAAGTCGAACAGGAGGGATGAGGACGGTTGCCGAGGGGAATGGTTGCTCGCGCGCGCGCAGGGACATTGTGGTCAAAGAAAGTCGTCCATGCAGTGTTGCACGTAGTTTGCGGCGGCAACTCGAAATTCGGACGTCTTCCAAATTTCAGCTAGTTTGTGACACTCCGCGTTGATCATGAAATCCACGCGCTCACGGTCACATAGGCGCGAGAGGCACTTAGTTGTCTCCAGTGCCTGTGCACAAAATTCAGACACAAAAGGCAATTTGCTGCCAAATAATGAATCATTTCAGGGAATATCTTTCCGACTTGCCACTCTATAAACGCACCTTGTCACATCCCTACTTAGCCAGTTGGCTATCAGGCAAGAAATGTCGGTTTTTCCTCTTAGACAACTACAATGCTTCAGGGGACGAAATCATCATTGGACACAAAGATCAATCTACAGACTTCAAAGGAATCGTCTTTTCCTCCTATTGTATACCCACTGGTCCCATATAGATCGACAAATGCATCATATCTCGCTACGCCTCCAAAGCGGAGGAGAGAAAATGACACTTCTGGAGGCCTGAACGCCCCCTCCCACCGATTTTGTAACCTGTCATCCAAATCTTCCACGTATTCTCAACAAAGCCACTGGTAGAGCTGCGCACGCCTACGCGTCTCTGGAGGCGATGCGTTTGATCGCAGTAGTCAGCGGACCCACGATAAAATGCTAACAAGCGTGATGTCTTTTGATGGAGGACATCTGTTTTGAATAGTGAGGTCCACAAGGATGTAGGCGTCAAGACAGCTTCCCTTAACAATTTCAGGTCTAAATTATGTCCAGCAATGAAATGAGGCCAGAGTTGAACACCTTGAAAGAGGGATTTATGACCAGGATCCGAAGTCTCGGCACTTCCCCGACGTTGCGGAGCGACGTCAGTGAGTATAAACAAGACGTTCACCCTTTTCAGATGCCTAAATGCAAGGGGCTCTGCCCATGACGTCTTCACGTTCATAGGAGGACCATACCGTTTCTAAATTTGGCGGTATGAAATAGGCTACAAACGCGGCGGTATTACAGACAAGTTCGTGCTATTGATACCCACAACAGCCGGTGCGCGCATCGTGTGCTGGCCAGTACAGATACTGTTCATCCAATATGGCAGGTAGGCAGACAGGCAACAGACACTGAGTGCGTGTAGTGATGAACCATGCTCCCTGTAAGCAATCAAGGCGAAAAATCCACGACCGTTGATGTCGCCTCGTGTCCACTGAAGAAGTGAGGCACGGTACGTCCTTCCTCTACACTAATCAGACCAGTAAAATCCCAGTTCTGATGGTTTTGCTCTCAACCCTGGACATATTAGTCTTTAACCTCCATGAACAATCGACCCGCGAGTGGAAACCCTGATTAATCCTGACTCATCCTTAACCCGTCTTGGGACGAGATTACACAAGAGAGGGCTCTTCCGATGGGAACGGTAGCAAAAAGTCACTCACGGATATAACGCTTGCTGGTTCAGTTCGAACACTGTGATTTCCACTGTCTTCAATAAAGGTGGGCCATTTGAGGGAACCAACGTCCTCGAACTACGCTCCCAGTGCTTTTCTATCCCGCCAAATATTGACAGTCCAATGTCTGGTTACATCGGATCTGGCCGATGATGACAACAAACGGCCGCTTGCGCGCACACACAATAGCAAAAGGGCTCTGGCGCACCATCGTAAAGACAATCGGAACCAACGTCAACCAACCATCACCAACTTAGATGTGGCATGACCCTGCCATTGTCGTCGGCACAGCGGGAGGAGGGGGAGGATTGTGTTTCGCTAAAACCGAGAGAGTGAGTCACCGACGGCGGCGTAGATACACATACACAGGCACACACCCACATGCATATGCGTAGAGAACCGCCACGCTGGTGTTTTCGAAACGTCGCGCGTGCCAGCCTCTCGCTGCCACCGAAAACTCAGCGCATGACAATCAATCTTGCCTGCCGCAATTTTACAGCCACGTTTCTCTCATGTGTGAACCACCACCATGAAATGGATTAATGTATTGTGGTGCTACTACTAACTAGCGCGCCAGTTCAAATGGAGCGTCACCTAACAAAAAGCGTTCAGCCACGGGGACTCCCCTCTCAGCTAGCCAGCCCAGTTTTTTTAAATCTTATACACTCGCGAGTCGAATCGGTCCCCCGAAAGTGTACCTGGGGGCCGTGAAGATCCTTGTGTACGATTCTAGAGTTACAAACAGTCATCCTCATAGTTTCATTGGGGCGATGGATGGCGTTTAAAATATGGGCCTACTACAGGGTGGACAAAGAACCTCGGGGATCACTCCCAGCCTGACGATTAATATGTGGAAAAACTCTAGGATTTAAACTTACTGCAGCTGATTGGCAGGCGATTCGAGCACACCGGAGGGTCACCTCTTGAGAGAAGCTTTTGGGGTAGACGATGTCGGAGACAAGACCACGTTGCAGCGCCTCTCGTGCCGACAACCGACGTCCAGCAAGGAGCAAATCATTGGCCAGTGGGCTGCCCACCTTCTGGGCCAATGTGTACGTGGCGCCCGCCTCAGGTACCTGTCCAAGGGTCGTGTAAGCAGTGTGAAAACTAGCGAGATCGCTGGCGTAGACGAGATCAAAGAGTGGTAGAACAGCGGTGGCCAGGCCCTCCGCCGGTCCATTCACTCCTGCCACGAGAAGCTTGGGGAAGGCAGAGAGCTTGAGCAGAAAGGTGCGCAGGACGGCAACCAAAGAGTCAACGAAAGTGACAACAGTGGAATTGGAGCTAGTGGAGAGGGTGGGTAAATCAATACCAGAGGAGAAGACTCGTCCAACGCCGGAAATTAAAACTGCACGGATTTGGTTATCCGTCTCCGCCAGTTGCAGCGCCTCTGTCAACTCACTCAAAACCTGGAGATAAAATCGGATTACATGAGCAGTCGCAGGAAGCTAAAGAAGTCCTTTAGTGGTGAGATAGACCTGAAGAGTGAAGGCATTGCGAAGCGTTGAACCGGGCGACCGAACCCAGAGTTCGGTGAATCCCTCGCAAGGACGACGGCGAAGGAGAATGGACATTGCAGGATCGGAGACAATAGACTGGACGGGAAGGTGACCAGGTGCTGAAGTTGGTTGGAAATCGCGAGTAGCAGAACTAGCGTCATCCGACTTAATTCCATTACGTCCATTCTGCTGGGGAGCCGAAGAACCGCTTGGATCAGCAGTCTGGAATACGACAGATGGAATGGAAACTATACTGCAACATCCATCAGACTGAATGCACGCTCCCGTAATGAGGACGCTTAGGCTCTTGGTGTTGAACAATCTCAAACCAAACCTTCGTGTTCTTATTTGCAGCATCTATAAATTTTTCTTTGTCCTGCGTCCGAAAAGGACTTATCCTAGAAGTTAGTCCTGCAGATTTATTGCGACAAAATACATCCGAAAGCATTTACAGACAGTTGCAAACTACATAAGTCAAGACAGGAGGAAGCGAGTCTAGTGATGGGATTCAGACCATGTCATCCCATTTTTGAAGAGAGGTCAAAGGACATTTTCAAAAGAAGCCGACAGTTCGATTGTTACAAGACGACGGCTAGGATTCAGCATCTATCTACGCCACACGAAGCAGAGACATGCGACTTGATATCTGTACATTAGTAGAAGTTCTTCAAAAACACCTCCCTTATACTCCTTTGTGTTAATTTAGTTGTTACTTTAGGAGCAGCGATGGATAATGGTTTATAGCTCACGGATCACGTAACGCAATGTGAAAAGAACCCTATACTGAAGATGAGCTTACAACTAAACCAAAAAATCATTCTTGAGGTAGAGAAATGGCAAAATGTCAACTGGAGACTAGGATGGTATCGCAGTAAGGTCAGAACCGATACGTCATTTCAAAGATGAGAATTCGTCCGAAATGTCAATGCATGGCAATGAAGTTATAACAACGATAACGTGAAGGTGCATTCGAGAAAAATCATAGCAACGAGCTGGGGAAATAAACTCGGATAGTTGCAAAGACGAGGTACCAAACGCAGTCAAATACTGCGATAGACTATGCTGTTTCAGGGCCATAAAAATTTGATTAATGGATAGTAGAAAAAAACGGAGAAGCTTCCAATTTAGCAGTTACGGAACAACCCAAACATTTTACTGGTAAAACTACAGGAGCTAAACTATTAACAAGGAATGAGGTTAGAAATGCGCTGAAAATACCCCAGTAAGGACCAGTTCTACGGCCGCAATCCAGAACACCACTATCATATCGTACATCTATTATGCATACCAATGCCATATGAGGTAAAGATCTGAGAGCTTTTTCCACAGTCTCCAAGCTCACTGGAGTCGGAGGTGGCAGAACATAGACTGAGACACCGGGTTCGGACTGTGCCACATCTACAAAAACGTTTAAAATTGTCATATTTGGTCACTGTGCAGAAACTGGCATCAGGTAAAAGCTAAAACTCACCTCCTCCGAGCATATCTTCTGGGAGGAGAGTCTGAATCTTATCCACCACGGAACAGTCACCACTGGGTGTCAAATTTGACGGTCGGATAACGCAACTACTAGGCGAGATGAGTCGAAGGAAAGACTTGAATGCGGTCATCTCCACCCCGCTAAAAGTTTCGCCCATGGGAGTCGGAGTACGACTGACCGGGGCCTTTGCCGTCCCATTTGATTTTGAGGGGTTAACCGTATACTTCGCTCGAATTCTATTCGAATGTTGGGCGACTGTGTCGCCCCGGGCAACGACGGACATATGGTAGCGGTAGGAGACGCCACTAGGATACTTCACTCGGAAGATTCTATTTTCTTCCACCAAAGACTGAAGTGAGGCCTTAGTCTCGGTGGAGGACATCTGGTACAGTCGTTCAGAGTAAAGAATTACGATTTTCTCATCCGGACGTCGGCGTCGATCTCGAAGAAAGTTGATAACCGCGATTACCTTCTCCGTATTAGATGCATCTGGAGGCAGGGTTTGCGGCATCACCGGGGCATGTTTTGACGCAGCGGAGTGGATGACGGAAGCAGCGGGGGAATGAAATTCTTCAGTGTCTTGGGCCTTGACTGTAACTGTGACACTCTTTCGAGGGCTAGGCGCTGAAGAGTCCATGGGATTGCGTGATCGTTTTCTCGGTGGTTCCATAGACGAGGATTCCTTGGAGGGGGACTCGGTCGTAGTGAATCGGGCGACGTCAGAAGCAGTACGCCGAGAAAAGCGAGCAGGTGCGCTAGAAGACGTCCTTTCTGACACTAAGTTGTCACTAGATGTTGACGGCATTTCTCTGAGGAGAAAATAAATATCAATCCCATAAAAAGCATGGCTACCTAATCAAAGCAATACCAAGTGTATGAACCCATCCGGTGAGTATGCAACCATCAGAACCAGTGAAAATACAGGCCAAATCCCCGTCGGACCCATGGTGTTGCAATCAAAACCATAAAGGCAATCGAAATTACACCGTCCGCATATAGTTTTAACGAGTGCCTTACTCGTAGGATTTCGTCCGCCGTAAGCGGAAAGCCAGCGCTCGTTTTGAGCGAACGGAATCCCCACCCTTAATTAGAGGACTTTCACAAATTCGCTTCCTTATATAAACCAGGTACCACGTGAGCAGATGCAGCTAAAGAGTGGGCACATGTAATGTATTACTGCGGGATCCTAGAAACGGAGCATTAATTACATCGGCAGCGGAAAGCGGCGGACAGAGACCTCCCCAAAGTATATAGACATTCGCTGATATTTAAACTAATAAATGTTAAAAACGGCCGACTAGTTTAATCGTACAACGTAAATTCGGGCGGCGCACCTGCCGGACGCAGAAAACCGACCGAGAACTATCGCGGTTAATGTTGTTTAAATTGCCGCTCCGCGCACTAATTTTCGCGATCATGCAATAAATATTTATCTGGCATAAAAACCCATAAAACTAGTCAAAAGTCCCCCTTCCACAATTTTATTTTAAAGGTATTGTGAGGATTTTGTTTTGCGAGGTCTATGAAATTTCCACTCAGACCCGTTTTTCTAGAAACCTAATTAGCGCTTTTTAGTGTAGCACGTATCATTATTAACAAGCGTAATCGATAACGTTAGAGATTACACGCAGAGTTGGGCTCTGATACATTTAATTTGTTGTTAACCTACGCATTTTCAATGAAACCGAAATAATTTTGCAAACCCTCTTCAAGTTTATTCTTTCATGACTAAGTCTGATTGCAAGTATTTGATAAACACTGCAATGTCCGTAAATCAAAGAACCAAACTGTTCTAGCACGTGTATCGTTATCATAGCCTGCACCAACACACTAATTCCCTGGATTGCATCCTGGTTTAAAAAACATGCAAACTCGAGTATCCTACGGTCCAGTTATGCATTAGAGATTTCTCGATCAGCCTGAATTAAAGATGTGCCTACATTTTGCGCCCTATTCAACTTTTAGTAACGCATCGCTTTTAGCTAGTCGACGAGGCCCACGCCTAAAATGACTTCGCCGTTGATTCTGGCATTGAAGCCAAGATCTTAACTCCCCGAGAGGCACGTACGACTCGTGAGAATCTACCTAGGTTTCGCCCTTACTCCTCCCAGAGAACTGATTTAGGGACCCAAAAGTTGGCACGTATCTGACGGAGCCTCAAATATGACTCTAGTAGACTCGACTGGCCTTTCTGAACGTCCCTCCTCCGTGACTCTTAGCCAAACTTGTATTAAAGGAGCACCTTGGGCCATCTCCAAACATGCGGCACACCAAACCACCCCGAGGGCCACTTGACCACCGACACGCGAAAGTATCAGAACCCTGCCGGCACAGCTGCAAGAATCATCACGGTTAGAAAACCACGCAACACAGGTCTGCCGTCGAAGACAAAACCAGTCTAACCTAGAAAACATGACGGTCACCAGACTACCCTAATTTTCTGGGACCTTCACACCAATCGCTACCGAACAATGGTACCAGTTAGCACGTACCAGGGAGGCAATAGATCCGCCGGGGACATGAGCTCTGGAGAGCCTATGAATGACAGAACATCCGTGAACCTAATTATTACCGAAGATTTTTCACAAGAATAACCAGTTAATCAAGATCCTATTTATATGTACACACACAATTATTACATTATGCATATAGTGCTCAGTCCGATTTCTTAATTTTTGCTGGCCTCTGGAAGGTGGACTGAGAGCTCTGTCGACGCTTCATTCCACCTCGTAACGTACCACGTTCACGAGTAAAACCTCTCCCGCCTTTGGCAAAGCCTCCTCCACGACCATTGTTAGTATGAAGTCCTCGGCCACCTCTATGATTTCCACCACCAAAACCACGTCCAGCACCACCGCGACTTCGGAAACCGCCGGAACGAAACCCGTCCCCGTGGCCGTAATTACCGTTTAACTCGTCCATCTCGGGCTCGAGTTCGGGGAGTTCAGTGAGCTTTTCAAGGACGATTCCATTGTTACCATTAACCCAGGTGGATTCGATGGCCTCTACTTTGTCGTCCGGCACGTCGAACACGAAGCCCTAAAAGACAGGAGAAACAGAAACGGTCATCTTTGTCGATACACCCAGCCACTAATAAAAATTAATTTTAACATTTCAAATAAGTAAAGAACCGTGCAAAAGAATATCCATATGTATAAATGCTTAAGATCGATTCTTGTCAGATCATAAGAAATTCGCACCGAGAACTATTAAAAACCAATGCTAACGAAACCAACTTCAAACTGTCATGCCGTTACAATAAAACTAGTTGAATCTGATAGTACAATCTCACCAACCCTACACCAAAACTCACCTTCCGCCCCTTAATGATGGCCAAATTGCGAATGCTTTCAGTGATCTCCGAATCCAACTGTTTAGTGAGAAGAGAGTAGCAAAAACCCTTTCTATGAGCAGTCATATGATGAGGAAGACCCAGGCGAAAAGCAGTCAAATCGGCATGCGCAGATAAAATCGAACGGCTCTCCATTGTCTTCAATTTTCCCGCAATTTTAGCCAGCGCACAGCAGAGTGCCTTCTCATAAGTGGAAACAGGGATGTCTGAATGCCCATTTTGAACTTTTTCGGGTTCTTTACTATCATCTGTTTTGGATTTCTTCGACTTTTTGGGCTTCTTACTGACTCCTGTGTTTGTCTGTGAAACTGTGGACTTCACTAAGCGTCGCGCAGCTGGAAGAAATGTTGACCAGGTTGATTCTGGAATCTCCGAAAAGGTTCTACAAATAAAAAAATCGCCGACAGGTGTTGCCAACCCTCCAAATAATCGAGTAACTAAACTAGTTGCTAACAAACCACCATGATTCCCAACCCGAAGATACGCTGCAATAAAAACCAACCAGATGACGAATCCCGACTAAAATAGGACTTACTGTGACAACTCCGAAGCCCACACATCGACAATGTCACTGGGAGTAGGGGCGGAAATACGCTTAAACACAATCCCAGCACCGCGCTCAATGAAAGCCAAATTCTGACGCTGTTTCATTGTGTAGAAGCAGATGCTTGTACCACAACGCCCAGCGCGGCCGGTCCTTCCAGAACGATGAATGTAGTCCTCGGCGGTAAACGGTGGTGCACATTGGATCACTAATTCGACGTCTGGAATATCCAGCCCACGGGCTGCAACGTTTGTCGTCAGCAAGGTTTTGTACTTGCCTTCGCGAAATTTCTACAACAGAAGAAGCAAACGATAGAAGCCTTGCTCATGTAACCTGATCTTTTTTGCATTTCATTATGCACCTGAAGGATCAATTCTCGTTTCTCCTGTGGGATGTCGCCATGAAAGACGTGACAATCACTAGCCATGGCGGAATGAGCTGCCAACTCATCAGCATCCTTCTTCTTCTCGCAAAAGACAATGCACCTGGAGGAGGAGCCCTTTGAGTAAACCCGAATGGTATCAGCAAGGGCATTAGCCCGTTCGTAGTAGGGACAGAGGATGGCCAAATGCTAATGTTAAGGTATCAGTCAGTTGACAGAACCATTACCTCTACCGTATCCGCCGTCCGTGCTTCCTCCTTACTCACGAGAGTGATCTGTTTGCAGTTTGAAGATACGTATTTTTTGCTGATTTCTGAAACCCACTTTGGCAGCGTAGCTGAAAAGAGTAGTGTTTGTGGCTTCTTTTCAGATTCGTAAACCTGAGAAAGAATTTTCTCGACATCTGCACTGAAACCCATATCAAGCATCCGGTCGACTTCATCAAGAACAACATATTGAATGCCGTCCAGTTGGAGATGGTTATTTGACATTAAGTCGATTATACGTCCAGGTGCACCAACAACAATATCTACACCAGCTTTCAGCGACCGGACTAAATAAAAACAGTGAGTGACAAATTTTGCGACGCACTTTGGGGCTGATAAGCAACACCCCCGTACACGGAGAGGACGACCAATTTCTCTGGCGCTATTGAAGATAAAACAGACGCGGTCTGGACAACTAGTTCTCTCGTAGGCGCAAGAACAATGGCGACCGGATGACGACCATGCGTAAATTGTTGACCATTTTCCTTAATCCGCTCGATTATTGGAATGGAAAAGGCCAAAGTCTTGCCAGAGCCAGTTTCTTGGGGGGAAAATCATGAAGAGCCAGTCAAAAACCTACTTGCCAAAGTCACGACATCATCACCATTCTTTATGTGCTCATAGGTCTCTGCTTGAACCTTGTACAGGCTCGTAATACCAGCAGATTTCAATTTGGCTAAGGTGCCGTCAGATATGTTGAACTCTGACAGGTCCGATGTCTCCATTGTCGGTCACGCCTAAGCTCGAAAATGGCGCGCCGCTGTTATTTAATGTGCCAGCGAAATAAAATAATATTCCTCAAGATCAAACAAATAATCCACTTAAAACAGCTTGTTAGTTTAGGGTTTTATATTGCTGCTCTAATAGTCTTTGCCCTAGGTTTGGTGATTTATGGAGAGTTTCGCCATTCAACGGCTCTTTGGGCTACATAATATACGCAAGGGAAATCGCGGCACCCCTATTAATACTAGTTATCGTTTCACTAAATATTACATTTAAATCGCCTAATGCATAATTTAAGCCTTGTTGTCCTTCAATTTGACCTTAGATTTAGCGTCCGGAGCACGCTTGGATGCCTTTGCAATGCACAGAGAGTGAAATCAATTATTGAAGTTCAAGTGGGCTGGCTGGTCACATGGATGATGCGAACTGAGTGATATTTTGGCGAAACCGAAGATACTGAGTAGTTGGGTATGCGATTAATGTAGGCCAAGCCTCTTCATGTGCGCAATTATCGCTGCCGTCAACTTATTGCGTGTATTAACTAAAGTTTGAATGACATTTAATGTTGTGGTCTATTATTTTAATGAAATTCGCTAGTATTTTGTCAGCTAGGTGGTTGTAGCAAAGATTACTTGATGCTCCCATTTAGGGTTTTCTTTTTTGTTATTGTACATATCTCTATTACAAAGCAGCAAAGCATCTAGTCTTTATGTGGTGCCGCATTTTAATTTAAAGCCTTTAGTCTGAGTTAGTTTATTTACATTTACATTTCTAGATTCATCTAAAGGTCAAGTGTAAACTAAATTAATGCATGTGACTACAAGTGTTAGGTCAGGCCACGCTGAAGGCCATGGTGTATTTGAATTGGCCTAATTCACGCTGAAAATTAACTGCCTAATGCAAAGTTTTTACCTAGCAGGAGGCAATAGGTCCAAATAGTAAAAAATTTGCGCTTCAGGAGGTTAAATATCATCCTTCTAAAGAATTGAGGGAGACCGTGTAGCGTCCCGAGACTTCCCTGTAGACGAAAGAGGTCGTAATACTGAGGTAAAATATATTTATTCAGCATACAGAAGAGTCGGAAGTTACTGGTATGGCCCGGAGGCCAGTCCGCCTGGCGAAGGAACAGTCGTGGATAGCCGAGGTGGCCTGTTACCAAAGTGGAGGATTAACAAGGCAACCAGCGTGTTTCATAGCCCCTCTACTCTTTTAAGTGTTGGCTCCCATGTCAGTCATCACAACGAAATCAGTGATGTAAGAACAACACCCTCGAGCCGACCGCGCTGTTAATCGCATTTTTATGCAACCGAGGAGATACTTGACTGCAAAATCACTGACCCCTCTTGGCGATTCCACTGAATCTGGAGTTCCTTCCTGCATAAAAAGAAGGATTTGGGGAAGGAGAATTGCGTTGACCACCACGCGTGCCCATAGCTAGTCGTAAAAACACTGGCCCCAAAGCCTAGTTGTGCAACAAAGATTGGGGTTTAAAATGGTTCCTCAAGGTGGGATGTTACGTCTACCCCTCTTTGGCTCTTATTTTCTCACTTCAGTGATGCGCAGCCACATCTATCTTGGTTCTATCCGACTGGTGGAGAGGCGGGAGAGGCATCGCTAATTCACAATTAGTACTTTCATGCAGGAGTAGTAGACAGCTCCGTAACGAAACCTTTCCAGATGACTAACGGCTACTGTCGCTTCAGTTGTGGATAGCTTTCCTGCACATCATAGGACTGAGGTAGCTGCTGAAGGCTGATATCATTTCGAACCTTTCTGCTTGGGGTCATCACCGATTCTCCCATCCGCAGTACACGGATTTCTTCGGCCCCGCCAAGGTTTATCGCCCAGCAGAAATCATGATAGATGACCTTTAAGGTCGAGTGCGCTTTCCGCTGCCAGCGATGTAGCTCCTCGAGACTTCTCCAAAGATTAAAGAGAAATCTCGGGCAGGATATACACATTTGACCAAGGAGAGGATCCGGAAGCCAACCCGCCTGGTGAAAGTACAATGGCTTGTCACGAAAACAGCGATCTAAACAATTAACGTATTACGAGAAGCTGGAAGTATAAACCGAGAGACCGCATCTAAATGCACGATTAATTCGATTTCGATGCGTTACATCACTAACTTGCCCTCTGAGTATCACCACCGACGCTTCCCCTTATTATCACACCGTAGTTGACGCTTCAAAAACTTCAAAAATATCAATCATTGGAATTTTCATTAGAGGCGAGAAGACACTTGTTCCAAAAATCCGTACGACGTCCCCTCAACTCCCCGATATTTAGATTTGTGCCCACTTTGTGAATTGACTTAGAGGTGGGCGATTCGCTGGCTTGATACAGCTAAAGACTGGATGGTGCTCTTTGGCTGGTCCATTTCATGTGTCACTTGTCTCTCGTAAGAGTCATTTTATAAAAGGCCTTTACAGAAATAATAATCTTTACCTACGACCTCTTGCTACTATGTTTTGCATTTCGGCTGTCTATCTAGGTCCTGTTCAGACACACTAGAGATGTCGAGAAGGGACCTCCATAATAGACCATCCAGAACCACTCAATTATGCTGTCACTTCAGTCGCCAACTGTCAACTGTGGACCTGACTTTAACAAATCGCAGTGAACATGGAGCATGACTTCAATGGGCTGTCAAAATAGTTGTCCTTTTGGATTGTGGATTTGCCTACCGCTGGCGTCGGTGTGACGTCCTATGTGATTTTGAAACCTCGAAGAAATAATGCAAACGCCATATAATAGACCGAGCCTTAAAAGCTGCAATAAAATAACACTCTGAAATATCGTCAAAGCATATCAATCTGGAGGTGTCATGCAGGCTGAAAGGTGACAGATATGGATGACGGAGTTGTAGGAGTCTGTGATGAATGTTTAGCGAGGATAACCGGTAACCTATCATATAACTAAGCTGGTGCGATTTTTGGTCAATTTCGTTGTGTACTGACCCGACATTTGTGAAATGTAGGTACAGACCTTGTGTTCATAAACTGACCGAAGTTTCGCGGTTTCGTTCAGCCACTCTTAAAATATCCTCCGCTAAAGGTGTGCGTGAGTCCCTGCTAGTTATTACCTCTACCTTCTCCTCCGGAATCGACTCGGTGGCCTACGCTCAGACAGCAGATAGGGGAATTTGCTTTGGGAAGGCCTTCCGTATTTTTCACCAACTGTTTCCGGTCAAGAAATTATCCAAAAAGGTCAGGAGGGCCATAAGTATGACCGAGAGACCTTACCATCACATTGTGGGAAGTAAAGAGCCCACGTAGGCAAATAAAAAGGCAAACAAAAACCAAATCCCCGTAGCGTGTCCACCCCACTTTGGGGGTGTTATGACCGACGGTTTTGGCTCACAGATGTCAGGAATTGCTGAAATCTACGGTAAAGATGGGGTCATTCATTGGTGAATACATTTGTGTCTCAACTCGGCCTTGTATAATCATGGACTTTGGACGTAAGAAAACCTCGGCAAGACTATCGTCAAAACGTACATGAATAGCCTTAGTACGAACAGAAAGTGACAGCAGAAGTGGCAAAGGACAAGTTGAATTGGGGAACAGGGAAGGGGCTTTCAAGCTCCAGTCGGTTAAAATTTGGGACCATACGCTATTGCGGTGATACCATATGCAGAAGTAGGTACCGAGACGTCGATGTACAAGCCGAAATGAACAGCCCAGACACTGTTCATCGAAGTGGGCATCCAGGAGGTTGGGCTGACAAACAAGCAAACACTATTGGGTACGACGGAGTGCAGTGATGAGCCACGCAATTTGTAAAGAGTGGAGGGAGAATTTCAGGTCAGACTTGCTGGTGTCTACTAATTTGAACAGGAGGCCCGTTCCTTCCCGGGCGTCACGGTGATGCGACATTTGATTGGCTTAACCGTTTTAGAGACAGCAGCACATCTTTGTGATAGGTGAGACTGGGAATTCCCCAGAGAATGTAGCTTCAGAAGTCCGCATTTCTACTTAGATTTTGAGGTGAAACTATGTGACAGAAGGCAGTAGGAATGGCGTAGGAATACACGCCCATTTGTCATTTGAAAGGTGAGAGACGAATACCATGGAAAAGTCTGTCTAAGAGGAGAAGATTCCCTTCCATCTAGGCATAAGGAGAATTCCAGACAAACGGAACAAACCATATTCCCACACCCATCCAAGTGTTTCACTAAAGCTTGGAAGGCTTCAGTATGGAACGGTTTATCAGCATGGTCAAACCATCCCAAGACAGTCTGCTTCACCTCGTCATCGTAGCGGAAATCCTGACCCTCATATTACGCCACTAGGGGTCCAGGGGGTCATACTTGCCAGCTTGGGTGTGACAGCGTCGACCAGTCACATTCAAAACAAGGCAGTCGTTCCGCGACTGGTTGATTGTTGCGTCTTCACCTGGAAACGCAACCACCACATCTGAGATAATCACAGACAGACAGGCAAACGTTCGGCCATCGTGGAAAGGGTGAGCATAATCAAATATCTCATCGATGCGATAGAAGCGGGTAGGGCATGCAATTGCCATACTGTATTTATGTTTGAAGGCTTCCGTTAAAATGGGTGGACATTCATGGGCTTGGCTTAAAGGCCTCCTTCCCCCATTTAAAGTCACATGGTTCACCACGGCACGTCGTTGTAGCCAACATTGCCGCTGTTGTCATCGTTGTCTGTCAGCCGAACCCGTCTACTGGATATATCGATGACCTGCGTCCGGACTTGTGCACTCACGGCCTGTACATCGACAACTACGAGTAGCAATGGGACAAACTTGACACCACAGTAGCAACTCTTGTGTCTGGTGTGAAGGTTGGTGATCTTCTTGTGGCAATCTGTCTACTACGCTCTGGCTTTCAGGTCTTCCGCGCGTATTAAATAAAGCCACTGCCAGATTCGTAGACTTTGTATCTGGAGGCTACATCAGTGGTAGTGTGGTGGAATATGTCCAGCCCCACTCACCGACGACCGATTACTGGTGTAGGTAACCCTCAAAGAGAGTGACATTTGACAGCTAGGAGAGGCTTACAATGAAAGAACCGAGATTATTCTCTCATCTCTCCGGAAACTGCACTACCGATGGAAAAGAGATTCGAAAAGACATGGAGTGGAATGTGAGGATCCAATGGATATCCCCGAAGTGGAAAAGGGAGAAGAGGGGGAACGAAAACCGCACGTATCCTTGAGGGTCTCGGGTGCACAGTGCAACTGATTGAATAGCCTCTCTTAAAAGGCAGATGTTAGCTATGAAAAGTAGCGAAACACACTCGCCGTAGATCAAAATCAACCCTCGGCAACGCTAGTCGGGTAGAGCACAAACGGTGCGCCACGTGAGCAGCACAATTCGCGAGTTGACATGCAGTAACGAGAGATGTGGAAGACCACTCACAAAAAGACGCTCAAAAGTGAATTAACATCACATAATTGACTAACGCCGACACTGCCTTTTTTTTTATTTGCTACAATAAAAACCACCTTACGGAGATCTGATTGCACCACCAGAAGGCCAAGAAAGAACCCCCAAAAAGTGATTTCAAAGGCGGCACGTCAGTAGTGATATGCATAGACAAATATGTATAAAATATTGAACAGCTTCTAAAATGTAGAAGATAGGGACTTCATTCATGTCATTCCTTCAGCAAAAAAAGGAAGAGATAATAGGAGCCTAGTCCAGCTTGAGGATGGAGAACCACTTCAAACCCAATTCATCCAATCGCTGACCACCTTCGCAGTTCGCCACCTCCAACAACATGCCCGCGCCGAGGACGTTTAAGGAGGCCTCTTTGCAGAGCTTTGCGGCTGCGCTCATGGTTCCACCGATGGCCAACACATCATCAATCAGAACAACACGAGAACCCGCCTTCAGTGCGGATTTCTGCAGCTCAAAAGCAGCCTTGAGGAAAGATAAAGTGATTAGCAATGGTACGAATTGGGACGCCTCAAGGTGTCGGTTAGCAATACCACGTTATCAGCCCTGATTAACCAGTCGGGGCAGCTTAAGGGTACCAGAGACATCCAGATCGAATTGGGGACGGAGTAGAGGGATGATGCCATGGCAGTACTGTCCCACGCAGTAGTGAATGTCAAGTGTATACCTTTAATGCATGCAGTCTTCGACCTATACGGCCAGTGGGTACGGTAGTGGTATTGCGCATTTCCGTGTGGTGATGAAACAGACGTCTTATAAGCAACGGAGGCGTAAATTTTGAACCCGGGGATGTCAATTCCAATTTACGGAGGACTTCAAGAATAGGTATGTATGGCAATTAGACGCCTCTCCCTCCTCTCGCTGTAGTGGTTAGTTAGTTGAGTAATGTGAACATTTCCAGGATGATAATTAGCCTGCCTGTCGGTCACAATCCTGCCCGCGGTGGTTTACAGCTCACAGTCTGGGCAGACAGCGGGGAGGAACGCCCGATCAGCACAACCTCCTGTAAGGTTTCACAGGAGACAATGATAAAGTGAAGCAGCCTGAGCTAGGATGAGACCAACTGTACTCAGGAATTTTTCCATGATGAAGGTGAATGAGACTAACTAATAGAATTATGCGCCCTTGAACGTATTCTGAAATAACTCGGAGGCTATACTGGTGGGGACAACTACCAAGGTAGTTTCAGCTTCAAGCCAAATGGAATGGCCGTTTACCATGGCGGAAGGGAATCTACTAAAGGTGACACGGAATGACTTTAAATCGTCTATAAAAAAGAACAACTTTGAGGCAAGGACAGGTGAGTGGAAGGGTGAAAATTAAGGGTGAATGAGAGATATTCAGCGAATGTTTTCGCAGAAAGCAATTGATGCAAAACACGAAAAAGAAGTAAGTATTATCCAACAAAGCAAATCCCCACGGTGTAGCTTGGAAAGGGATTTAAAAGGTGAGATCCCTTTCCCCCTACCAGAAATTGCAAGACACCCTGCCGCCATTGTAGGCACGAGACAACAGTGATCAAAGGAGGTACCCCAAGCCAAACTCAGCCTAATAAATGAATAAGTACTTTAAGAGTCCCATTAACTCCGCAATAACCCTCAGATACTCGAAAATAAGTTTGACGCCACAATAGGATCCAATTGGTCACAACGGGCACACCTTACCAAAGTAGCACAGATTTCAACCAGAGCGACTGCTTTAGGAAACTAAGTGCTCTAGTCATAAAATGCATCGGTTGGTCGAAGTAGGAATAACACATCAGACTGTAAACAAAAAGTGGCAGAGATAACTAAACTTAGTTAGCTAGGGGACAATGGGCGTGTAAAACAGAACTGCTCTAGTAACTGGCACACGTGTCTCAAATGAGGCCACTCAAAGTGGCAGCATTGCTACAAGGACTGGAAATCGGGTGGCTTTTCTTAACGTATGCTAATGTTAACAGTGGTATACCACTGCCCATAAAGGTCATAAACCTTGCTAAATGAGGCTAGCTTACATTTCCAGTGAGATTTGAAGGGAAAACCTTGTACGGGACAAATGAAAACCATTGACACGTTCGCTACGAAGGTCGGAGTGAAAAAAAGTTGTTATCTTCGGGTCAAGAGCATCCAACGCCTAGCTAATCCATTTGCGCCACGACCAGGTATAATCACGGTACACATGGGACACATATGCGTCGGCAGAAGCAGGCAATACAAAATCCATGGATAGCATAACAATTAGATCACCCTTGGACTTTCGTAACGAAAAAAAGGCATTCCATTCCCCTTCCAAGTGGAAACCCACTACACACTAGCATAAAGCACTGCCGAACTACAAAGTGATTAGGAATTTGAGGGAGGGGAAAAAGCAGCTTAAAACAGCGCAAATGGCGTAGGATAGATCTATTACCACCTTTTCCAAAGGGGTCTACAATCACGTAAAATTAAAGGTGAATTTAGATTGGTCGGAGCAGCAGCACGCTCCCATTTTGATTGGCTGCCTCTTTTACGTGCCAGGTAGTCACGTTGTTAATCGCCAGATATAGCTACTTGCCTTTCTGGTTTAAAAAAGAGGACATAAAGTTAAACAAGGGTGGGAATAAAATTCCCGTAAATAGTCCATAGCTGACGTAAGTCGGCTATGAGAAAAGGTTGGAAATCGGCACAAGGAAAGAGGAGCCGAAAATAAGCGTACCATACGGCAGATCAAATCGCAGACTTATCGTTAAGGAAATGGGGCCAAAAAATGACAGCCTACTAATGGAAAGATCCAGAGCAAGAAAGTGCTTAACTATCCCTAAATTTAAAATAACACCGTTTTAGGGATGGAATGCGGCTTTAACCCATTAACGGGACGGCATTCACGGGCCACGACTTAACATGGGAAAAGAGAGGGTGGAGTAGAAGCCTCATCATTATTTTGTTCTAAAAATAGCGTTGGGAAAGAATGGAGGGTTAGGGCAATTAAAAGGATTTACTCAAGATTTATTTGCCAACATCGTAAAGGATAAATTACAGAAGCTTTCTTCGAAAAGCACCAGGGAAGTCATATTGTAAGAAAGTGGCCAAAAATAAGGAAAGCACACTTTTAATAAAAACTGCAACAGGCCCACAGCAACTAGTGCAATAGAAATTAGGCTGTAGAAGTTGATAAAGTGGAAAAGCTGGGAATTAAACGAAGAGTCATAAAAGGAGATTGCTAACGTACTGGATCCGACAAGACCGAGATAGAAAAGAAAACAAAATAAAAAGTTGAGACAAGTCAGTGACTTACAGAACCATATTCTAGGTTGTAAGTGCCTTTTACACACTCGCCAGGAAGCTTGCCGGCTTTTCGAATGGGAACAAAGGGCACTTTAAGGAAGGTTGAAAGGAGAATTCCAAATATGAAGCCACGGGATTCTAGGCCTATAATGGCATCAATGGTCTAAGGACACTTCAAAAGCCAGTGAAATACTTACTTCACCATTTGGCGTGAAACGCTTCTTAATCTCCTCTGCCATCAAAGTGACGCAGTCGCTGATAACGGTCTGATCTCTAAAAATGGGGAAAATGTCTCTGGAAAATAAGAGGTGAATGGGACGTACAAGAAGTTAATGCCCTTTTTGGGAAAGTCTGGGTACGATTTTATTAACTGCCGTATTCTTTCCACTCTTTGGTCCTTAAAAATAAATGACTGGAGTGGAAAATACCTACAGTCATGATTACACAGCAGAGTAACACAGAAGAGCCTTCAACTATAAACGCGAATAACGCACACTTTGATTGGTTTCAATAGCTAAAGGGAGCCAATGGCAGTAGGGCAGAGTCTTATGTCCTTAAAAATATGCAATGGTTAAACACGACTGGTTTCAAAACGGTGAACTGGATTATCTTTTTTTCAGAATACACCATTTTAAAGCAAAAATTGTTAGAAACAATGGTAGACAAGCGAAATGCAAAAGGATACCATCAGAAAAATGTAGATGCTTTTTAATTTTACAGGCACGAAGATGCAAAGAAAAGGTCAATTTATTTATGGTCTCCTTGAAAAAAAGATAAAACCCTGGGAAAATGCTGCAACACTGCCTGGTCAACAAAGTAATTCTCCTACATCCTAGAAATATCAATTCGAAAACTGTTGATCTTAAGACTTATTTAAACTTAGCTGAACATAATCTTATTATATTTACTGTGAAATGTGATCTTAGAATATTTTCGCACACATTGGGGTGTTTGAAGTGCGAACTTTTTCTTCGAACGTATGTTCTTTTGAGTATAAAAATATTCCTGTTATTTAAATTAAAGTGAAAGCGGAAGGAATTTTAACCAATTTGTGTAATATTTACTCTTTGGTTCCTTAGCGTACATTTCAACTTCGGAGATGCAAATAAATATCTAAGTCTAAGATAATTTTCCAGTTATAGAAACTTACTACCCCAACTTGCTGCATATAGTCGTACCGCATTTTAGATTTTTGTTTGCAGTTTTAATTTTTAGGGAGAAAAGCAATTGTAAGTGCCATTTACTGGGGCTAGTGGTGAATTTATCTGACAGATTGTCTGCTCCTGGGCTTCTTATGACATTTAAAATAAAATAAATGAAACATTTTTAGCCATAATTTCTAACGTTCTGGCTTTCTGATGGTAGGTTGATTTTTTCTAGGACAAACTTGGCCAATATTTTGTTATAACTTACTAAATGAAGAACTTCAACAGATCACCAACTTGATCTATTGGTAACGATGCTGCTTTCATTCTGCAGTATAGTTTGTGTTGGGTTGTCCGCAAATTTTACCAGTTTATAATGTCCGGTTCAGGAGATAATGGTTGTGCACAACAGGGACCTGAGGCATCACATCCGGGTGCTTCGAATGAACTTCTATTGGAATTTCTCGATAGTGTTATGTACAAACGTTTCGACACAGCCCTTATGCTCTGCAAAAAAATAATCGAAGCTGAACCTGACAACTATGAAGCTCGTGCATTTCTTCCTATGCTTGAGGAGGCTAGTGCATTAAAGTCAACCGGATACTTTAATCCATTAGACACCTCTTCTTCAACTGAATCCGGTGAAAGCAGTGCAGAGGAAAGCGAACACAAAAAGGAGCGTCGCAACTCTTCTTCCTCTTCAGATGAATGGGATTACAGCACCACAACGTCAGATTCTGATGATGCTTCAGAAGATGATGGGTAATACAACAAATATGTAATTGTACAGACACTGGTAATAACTAGTGTGCTTGCGTAATGCAAATTCCACTGTATTTATGTGTCTTGTACTCTGCTGACCGAAGAAAGCATTTTTGTACGTGAAATGTTTTACGGGATTTACGCATGCTAAAGTCAACGTTTTTTTTACAATAGGATACCGAGCTCCCAATATCATTGCGGTACAGTTTATGTGGCGAAGATAATGTTATTGCTTAGTTATTCCTCTGGAAATTTGGCTAAATATTAAAGTGGAGCAAAGTTGAGCTTTGCTTTTTCTGAAAGAATATTGACTGAAAGACTTCAAAAAGTTTATTTAAGTGGCATGACTAAAACTAATTTGAAATAGCAGTGAATAGTTCTAAGTGAAATAAATGTTTGGGGTTACTTTAACCCCACTGTAAAAATGAAGTAATCTAGAATTAGGGAGGAATTGTGCAATCATTTATGAGTGCTTAGTTTTCATTCCTACAGCATGCCATTAAATGAACCATTAACAGACCTTACTATCTTTTAAGCTGTTTTATACATTCCGAATGTATATGTCCATATTTGAAAAGTATTTTGGCCTTATTTTGGTGGACTAAGACATTTTGGATATATATTTCCCAAGTAGGAAGCCATAGAGTCTGTATTTGTTTACCTCAAACCGCATATTTGCATTCATTGGATGAAAGGCAACTGAGGAAAAAAGGAGCTGTTTTTTGCAATTCTGTCTCCGATATTTCTGCAAAGAAAAAGAGTCTTTCGCCCCCGGCCAAATGACTGTTCCCAGTCAACACTGCTCTTTGGCTTTTTGGACAGAAAAGATAAACACCCTGGTTGTGCGAAGTCTCATTCATTTTCCCTTTGGTTACCTGATTTTCAAAAAAACGGAAAATGCATGAGAGGTGAAAATTTTTCCCTTTCCCTTAGAAAAAAGTTCAGTTATTGCCCAACTTTAGTAAAGAACTAGAGCCACTTTAGCAGAAGAGGCTGTTGATGGGGCTATGGTCTGGAAAATGTCACCAGTGGATAGGGAAAATGGAGTAAGTTTCCGTTTCTTTGACTGAAATGGAATCAAATTTCACCCAAATGTCTCCCATAAATTGGCAGTTATATTTATGTCGAGGGTGGAGACTTGTTCAAACTTAACACAGTGGAGGAAGAAGGGCACTTTCTACGCCACGACATTTCTCGTGACACGATTAGGGGGCGCACATGACATTTACGTTATCACGGCAAATCACCATGGTCCACTTGCCCGCTTTTTTGCCTCTGGAGGTAATGTGGTGGAACGCAGCTGGATAGGCGACCATTGACGCAGGCAATCGCTGCAAAACAGGCAAAAGAAGGCAATGTAACACCTCTAAAGCACTTTTTTTCAACTGCGAAGAATGCTGCAAAAATGTTAAGGTGGATCGAGTGGCTTTATCACTTCTCATTGGCTTCCTCTCATCTAGCTGCCAGTTTTTCTCTGCCATAGTTAAAATCACCAATTAAAAGGCCAATTTCTCACATTCTCTTACAAGGTTTAAAGCAAGTAGATTCTCAAATTTTTTTTTAATGTTTTAGTACTTTTACTTAAAGCATCCTTTTTGATGAAGAAGGGTTGTCATATATCATCATTTAAGGTAAAAGTACAAAGAGGGTGTTAACGCAAACCCCTCAAAAAAGTCCTTGGCTTCGCTAGATTGTTTAGTTAGAAGGTAGTGTCGTGACAGTTGATTATGAGATGACAACAAGACATATCTGGATATTTTAGAGGCAGGAATCAAATAGAATCCTCCTCCCTAGCACACTTTGAACGTCATTGGCAGCCTTAGAAACACGGCAAGAAGTTGGGTCACTGAAGGATTGGGAGTAGCATCTAATTTTGGATGGAATCCATCCCTCACTTTCAGATCACCATCGATGATTTTGTCAATGATTGTATGGCACTTGGCATTTATCATTTTACCGTCTGCCTCTCTGTCTTCCATCCCAGCGTGCACTAGGCCTCCGTGGTTGCGAAGTTCCGTAGTTTATTGGTCAGGAAGAATTCATCTCTTGATCACTGACCTGGTGACTGATCTTGCATCTGCGTGGATGGGACGTACAGGAATGGGCCTCCCACGCCACACACGCCTGATCGTCTCAGAGAGGTTGACACCGTGGAGGACTTGAAGTCGCCTGTGGGTACGAGTTAGTACACCATAGTTGCCTGGCCGTCTACCTTCCTGATGGACGGCGTATGTACTGGGCTGGACTGGCCAAAACTAAACTGGAGTGGACTAGCCCAGGTACGGCATTACTGCCAGCCATGCAGGACAGTATCCGAACACTCTTCTCGCCGCCCCACTCTGCAGTACCGCCTCGATGGGGTGTTTTAGTAGAATTTCTAATAGGTCCTAAAAGCCCGATGCATCCATTCGATGCCTTACTGTCCATCTACCGCGTGTCTCGTGGGATTTAATGTTAAAGTAACATAATTAAGCAGAAATCTTTTATTCTTATCCCTTTGGGAGAAAATGGGGGAGTGGGGAGAGAGGGGCGCGGAGTGAAAATGGGAAAAGGGGGTATGGGAATGAGGCAAGGCGATGAGGAGGAGAAACAAGCTTCCCTTCTATTCCTTCTATTCAATGAACCAGTAATTTGAATAGCTAACACGTTTCCTTCGAAATTCCTCACTTTCAACCCCCGTATTTTTAAATCTTTTCCACATTTTTTTTGCTGACAAATGGATTGAGGTCTCTGAAGGTGAGTTCTGCCGGAAGATCTAAACACTCTCTCGCTCATTCGACTTCAAACTCTAACGTCGGTAGTTGATATAGCAGCCGCAGCATTAGGAGGGTGAATTTCGGACCTAACACTGGGAGGGGATGAAGAGGGATGGAGGGAAGCTGCCAAGTAAGGTAAGGTTACCCACTCTCACCCTCCAGCCCTCATCTTATGACCTCTCAGATTGTGCGGTTGATCATCGTGGAACAGTCAGGACGCGGCGGTTAAGAGCTAATCTTCAAGCGATGAAGAAAATTAAACTTCCATTGGAAGAAGAATTGAAAAAATTCCTTTTTATTTCCGCATTTTATTACTCCCAAAGGAGAAATATACATAATCCACTTTCTTTTTCTCCCTTTTTCGTTTTATCGCCTGTTTAACCTTTTTTTGGCATCTTCAGTACTGGGGCTTCAGGGGTAGTGGCCTTTCAAATTCAACCATCCTTCCCTACCTCCGCACAATTTTGAAAGAAAAAGGAAAAATCTAGGCAAAAACCTTTTATCCACAAGCATTCACGTAGCTGGATAAAGTGTCGAGGAAAGAATGAATGAGGAGCGACGATTTTATCTCTTTTCAATTCATTCATGACATTTTTCACAAAAGTCTGTATTTTCGGCTATTTTTAATTCTCTGAAGAATATTTACTGCAGAAGGTAAAAAGAGGAGAAGGGAGAAATCCAACTGGCAAGTTTTTTTTAATGGTAGTGGTGGTGGAGGAGTATGTGAGAGCCTACACTTAGACATTTGGGCTCATTAAATTGGATACTCGCCTTTTCTCCGAAAATGAAGAGCTCTGTGCCTTCTGAGTGCAGAGCAGTTCTAAATTTTGCAACTTTTTTTCATTTTGAGGTGATATATTCTCTCCCTGCTAAAATACAAGGCCAATCTGTCATCAATCAGTAGTAGTTGCAAGGAAGTTGGTGTCAGACAGGACCTTTCCATGGTCTGGACACGAAAGGAGACACAACTGCGTTGACATTACATTCAGAAGTAAGTGAAAGGTCTCCCCTTCACGATTTTTCAGTCATTTGATGCGCTTATTGTGTACGGATTGGGCCAGACACCGTTAATCAAGGCGACTGACAACAGAGGTGGAGCCTGCATGGACAGACCTGTGATGATGGAGGCACCAAATACCCCAGATAATCATGAATCCCTCCGTAAAAGATGATTTCCTCTCACGGTGGTACCTTGACCACAACCTTGGCAGCCACTCCTGTGGGCGTCTTGCCAACGCATGGCATGCTCAGCCGATCCTAAGTAATTGACGCATGACCTGGGAAAAGGACCTTCAAGTGTGACGTGGTTTCAGTTATTAGTGGCTTCCGCAGGATTCCATTTGACTGGTAGTGGCGGAAATGGCTTTGACTTCTTCCCAAATCCTGTCCTTTTGGTGGTTGCCAAAGTAGGCTTCTGCATTATTGAGGTCTGGAAATTAATCCAAAAAATCAAGACGGTTAGGTCTCTTGAATAGGATCCGCTCAAGACCTTCTCTGGCGTCGTTTCCAACATCTTTAAGACTACAAGCTTGCTCAAAGGCTCGACTGTCCCGCATGTTCAAATGGACAGTTGCTCGTGAAGGACAGACAAGGTCTGACAAGACGTTTGTTATCATAAAATGGACAAAACGATGGTGGGTAAAACACGTGGGAGGGGCGATGGCTACAACGAGCTAACAATAGACTCTCCAGGTAGTCCTCATACATGACTTTTTTCATGAAATCGTTGGGAATAGCAAACAATAGAAGAATATGGCGCCATCCACTGCTCCGGTTAAGGTTGTTTCTCTGTGCTGCCCCCAGTAATAGTCCACGGGTCTTGTAATAGAGGCATAATATAGCCATCCAGAATCAAGTAGAACTTGGTGCAAAAGTAATCATGAACTTTGTCTGAATCTACGTTTTTATTTGACAAAAATTCACTGACTTTGGAAGGCCTCTTGTAACAAACAGTGACTTCTCCCACGCCTCGAAACACAAACAGGCGATGTCTAGATGCCAAAAGTCTACACCCAGTCACCTACGCTTATAGCCCCCTATGGGTGTCCCTATTGTCTACCATCCAAGGGGGAAATAGTGACCTGGACAATAATGAATGGGGAATGTGGAAGATGTGGGTGAGGAAAAGGGTGACCGTGAGGCATTGCCTCACACTCCCTTCTTCCTCCCGTCCCCGGTGCAAGATAGGGTCGTCCCTGGGGTAACTGTTGAGGTGTTTTGGGGTATGCGATCACATGCTGCTGGAAAA